GCGGACACAACGCAAGATGATCAGAATAATAGCTGGCACCAGCAGGAGGCGCCCGAAAAGCCCCCCTGAGAACAACGACCAAATGAACCATCAGGCCAGCAATTTCGAGCACGTGGAGAAAACGAATCTAGAGACCACAACGCCTGAGAGCGACTCCAACGGCAGCATCCAAGACAACGACGACAGCGACAACGGAAACACATCTGACATCTGCACCACGGAATCCTGGATCGACTTCGGCCAGAGAGCAACGCACTTTGCTAACGCCCACGCCAAACGAGCTCAGATCGAATCTTGGACCAGTTGATTTCAAAAAGAAGTGGCGGTGGGCCTGCCGCATAGCAAATCAATACTATGACCGCTGGTCACGACGTGCCGCCGTCTGGGAACCCCCAGTACATGACAAACGACCCGCACAGAGGAAACACGGAGGACAGCGGAAAAGATGGGATCATGATATCGTCAGCTTTTCGATATCGCACAAACTGGTGGACGACACAAGAGCATCCGACGACACCGGTTGCCGATGGTGGTTACAACTTGCCTGCGACACTTGTGTGTGGCACAGATTGGAGGGACAATGTATCGCGCATGCGACGGCTTCTGTATGAACATCTCCGGCACCACGGTGTAAGGGCCCCGGCCCGCCCGCGCCGACCCTCAAGGGTCCCGCTCCGGCGGACTTGCGCGCTTCGCGACTTCGCGACTTCGCCTTTGATATGCGCTTGTTGCCTTCACGCGCATATACTTAACTATACTGGGCAGATCTTGGCTTTTTGTCGCGTCTCTTTCGCCGCGTTCGAACCTCTCCCTGCATGCGCCGTCTCTCGTGCAGCTGACGGGCCTCGCGCATTTCAGTCTGGGCAATTTAACCCCTTTCCTGGTCTCTGACGTGCGCCCTTTCTCTGAGGGACCGCACGGCACCAGGGTTTTCGTGCATCTGGGTAACATGGATTTTTTTCTCCTGGTTTCTGACGCGAGTCTCTCTTTAGGGCCCTTGCGGCACCAGGATTTACATGCCACTAGGCTCCTCTGTTCCATTGTTCCTGGCCCTCACATGCCTCCCCCCCACAGCCATTCATCGTCCTAACCTGTTCCAGAGGAACGTGCTGCCAACTCCATGCGCCTCTTTGCGCATGGCCGATTGCAGCCGCAGAACAGGAACCCAGTGTCGAGAAACTCTTCGGACTCTCCGAGGACGCGTACCAGGGCTCACAACAGCAGGGCTCGTCCTACACTGCGAGCTCGCGCCGTGTCCGCAAGTGCTTGCAAATCATCCACCCAGGCGGGTGACATCTCCCCAACGACATGAAGTACCCGTTCGTCTGGAACATTGGGGGCGTCACCATCAGAGACAGCCGGGCGCGCGAGGAGTGGGACTGGGAATGCGTGCAGACCCCAGGCATGCCCACCATCGCCGAAGTCGAGTCCATGCTGCGTGAGCATGCGCGCACTCTCAATGCCGCCAAGCCAGAAGCCCTTTTCCTTACTATTCTCCGTTTCCCTCGCTCATACCAACGTTTCGTGTCTCTTATCTTCCTTTGCGTGTGACGTGCCAGCCTAGCGCAGTCACGATTTGTGTGTTCCCGTTCAGTCTCCAACTGGCCTCCAGAAGCTCGTAGCGCTTGCACCTGTAAGCTCGTGGCGGCAACGGTCACTATGGTAGGAAGTCGCGAATCTAGATTCGAAACGGGTAGCATTCTTGTCAGTTTATGATCCGGACAGCGGCAGGGCAAGACCCTGATGCGCAGACATGTCCGCATTGTACAGGGTGTGAGAGGCATTGTGCCCGTGAGAGTTCCCTCATCCACTCCTTCTCCACTCTTTTCGTCCTCCTAGTGTTTCCTCCCCCTCCTTCCTCTCCCCACATGCGAACGTCATGCAGAGTAGCGCGCTTTTCTACGCCCCAGCTGAGTCTCATCGCTTCACCTGGTTCTCGTGGCGCTGGTACCTGTCAACTCGTGGGGGCTATGGTCGCCATGGTAAGAAGTCACATGCACATATATTCGAGGAGGGGAGCACACAGTCATCCTCAGGTGAAGCTTCGACTCATGGACCTGGCTCTTGAACGGATCAACCCTGAAGTGCCGACCCCAGCCCGACTGCACAGGATGTGAGAGACACCGTACCCACGGGGAATGCCCGCATCCACCCCACCTCCTTCCCTTCTGTCTTGTGCTCGTTGTTTCTGTCCCTTCCTTGCTCAACGTCGCACATACAAGTGTTTTCAATGCCCCCGCCAATTCTCAACGCCTCACCGGGTGCTCGTGGCGCTCGAGATCACAGACGCAAGCTTCATCTAGATTCGAGGCCAGGAACATGCAGTCTCCCCCAACCAAGTCCATTTTCGCTCGGGGCTCCGGCATTGCACGGAACATCCCTGACGCGCGGACACCAGCCCGCCTGCTCAGGATGTAGACGGCGCTGTGCCAACGGGAGGTGCCCGCATTCCCGCCTTCTTTTTCCCATCTTTCGGGTCCTCCCATCGTTTGCCCCGTTTCGATAAGGCTTGCCGTCTCCTCACTTCTTTCAAGCCAAAGGCGGACGGCGACCAGAGGCCCAGCGAGGCCACTGTGGCTCTCCAGCCTAGCTTTTCCTCGTCGCCGCCCCCTTGCCAACACCTCCAGGCGTGGCGGTTGGCCGCGTCGGGGGCGGAAAACGCTCGCACGATTTGGTAGTTGGGCATTGGGCCCGTGTGCGCGCACCTGGCGCCTCTACGCGTCAAGCTGTGGCATACGACGATTTCAAGTTAAAAGCCCCTCCCTCCCTCGTCCGGAAGGAAACAAGACGGGCGAGTCAACCCACAAGCGGGTCCCCGGGCGTTCAGACATTGATCCGCCCTGAGAGAACAGCATGAAAATAGGGTCGGGAGGTCCAGGCTTGTTATTCTTGCAAGACGTTGGTAGACTCCGTGACGCCGGACATCGGGGCACCTGTGCCCACTGGGCGACTGCTGCTTGTCCGCAGCGTCGTGCTTGTTCGCACCAGTTCCGCCCCCGGCAGCCCCTGGCGGCCCTCGGCGGCCCTCGGCGGCCCTCGGCGGCCCTCGGCGGCCCTCGGCGGCCCCGGTCGTCACGGCCGCCCCCGTGTGCGCCGGACGAGCGCCGTGTGGCCAGACGAGCGCCGTGTGGCCCTCGCCGCAGTGCCACCGCTGGCGCCGGTGCTTCTGCCGCCGCTCCGTGGCCGCTTGGGCTCGGAGCCTTTGGTGCGCCGCTCGCGGAGCGCGCCCCCCCCATTGGGACGCACCTCCTGGGCGGCGTCAGCATCGGCGAAATCGGGACCCTACCCTCGCCGATCAACGGTTCAGGAAACTCGCTGGGCGGCGGGGGGAGGGTTCGGAAGTCGTCGAACACGTGGCGAAATCCGAACCCTAACCCCGCCTCTCGTCGATTCAGAAGAAAGGATGGCTTGTGGGAGTAGGGTGCGGATGTCGCCACCTAGTTTCAGCATCGGCGCTTGCATATCTGTGGTCGAAGACCAGCCTCATCCAGCATAGCCCCGCCGCCGAGTTCTGTTCGATATGCCGCCTGATCCCGCTCGATCCTGGGCCTATCCTGGGCCTGATCCGGCGCTCAGTGGCTCCTGAACTGACCTTGATCGGGCTTACGGTCTGGACTTCTTGGATAGCGTGTCGTCGCTCCGCCAGTTCTGGCACACCACGCTTCGGCGCGATACGCCATCCGCTTCCTAGTCCCCAGGCTTCAGCGTTCCAAGCTTTCCTGGCCTCTCGCCCCGCGGTGCGGGGCGACACGCTATCCACTCGCAGGGCATAGCGCATCGCTGGGGCCGCCGCGGCGACACGCTATCCAGAAGTTCCTGACCGCAGCCCTGAGCCTCTCCTGGGCCTAATCCGGCCCAGTCCGACTCAGTGGTCCTTTGACGCACCCCTCCTGGACGCCCCCAATCAAGCGGGGCAAGGACGAGGACAAATCCGTCCCGGAGCGCCCGACACGTCCTCCAGAGCCGCCGGATCTCAGAGGTCCTCGAGCCATCTTCGCCCGGTGTCGTCCTCGTCCTGGCGTCGGCCTCGGCTCGTTCTCACGAAGGCCTCCCAGGAGTTGCCTCCCAGCCTCCCGGGAGCGCGCGCCCGGCGCGAGGCGGGGCGGCGGGAGGCATGCTCCTCCTGCCTCGCCTGCTGTGCCTTGCCACTGGGGCCACCGGCGCGGCCATCTTCGGCGGCACGCTCACGAAGGAGGCGGGCGCCGCGGGGTGATGGAGGGGGGAGGGTCAGACGAAGCCAGGACGAGGATGAAGTCGGGTGGGGAAAGATAGAGGGTCTCTGAGATCGGGCGGCTCTGGAGGATGCATCGGGCGCCGCGGCCTTCCCGGAGCGTTCAGGAACGCTCTGAGAGCGTTCTGGAACGCTCAAGAACGGACTTGTCCTCGTCCTAGCTCCGTCCGAGAGGGAGGTTGGGGGCGGCCAAGAGGGGGGCGTGTGACCAGGGGGAGTGTGGATGTCATGATCGGGGCCAGGATATCTGCTCAAGTTTCATGGCGCCCCTTACGTCCCTTGCCCCCCCCTCGTCCGCGCACATGCCCGCGGCCAAGATTTGCTCCCCTCCTTCTCGAACAGCCCCCTCCTGCACGCCCCCGAGGAGGGAGAGGGCCCGGACAGGCTCGCGCCGTGAGGCGTCCAGAGGGCGGCCCGCCGAGCCTCGGGGCCGTCACAGAGTGGCTCGGCATGCGCAGCCAGCCGTGGGGAGAGGGTCGGGACGTCATGGGGACGGCGTGCAGAAAGCATGAAGACACCGCATGCCCGGGGAGAGGAGCCGGGCGGGGCCAGGACCGGGACCAGAGGCCGCCCCAGAGCGCTCCAGAGCACTCGCGGAGCGCCCTGGAGCGCTCTGGAGCTGCCGCGGCGCCCGCTGCGTCCTCTCGAGCCGCGGGTTCCTCGGTCTGTTCCAGCCCGATGTCTGGTTCCCAGCTTCGTCTTATGGTCCCAGCTTCGTCTTAATCAGTTGTCGCGGGTTCCGCGGTTTGTGCTGGTCCAAGCTTCGTCTTATGGTTGGCGTTGCAAGGATAGCGTACGGTGCGCCTCCGGCCCGCTCCTTGCACATGTTATCCCCCCGACTTGGGGACATAGAGTGCACGGAGAAGGCCCTCCTGGCAGGGTTTTTGCGTGCACAGGAGGGTCTCTCGCAGGGGGATCGCCTCACAGGCACAGCGTGCACGGAGGAAGCCATATTTTGAGGGGGAGAGCATGCTTTTCGGAGATCGGTGTTTGCGCGCTATCTTCGCGACGCCAGCCGCAGGGAGAGGAGGGGCCTTCGGAGAAGACAGCGATCTCTGATCCATGTCCGTGCAGCGTCGAAACTCTGGAGAAGAGGGGAGAGGAGGTTTGGCGGTGCGGCTCGGCCACGGTGCCTCCCGCACGGCAGGCCGCCGCGGGGTGGCTGAAGGTGTGGCGCGCGGCCTACAAGAAGAACGACGGGTCGGTCCCGGAGCTGAAGGATTTTTTTGGGGCGTTCGTGTTGGGGACCTTCCTGGGGCCCTCCTGAGGGATCTGTGCTCGGGACGGTCAAAATTGGTGCGGAAAGAATGGGTACACAGACCAAGGTCAGTTCCTGTTCATTTTGAACTGGACTCGCTGTCGGGGTCGCCGCGGATGTTGCCCATTTGCGACAGGAGGCCGCCTGCCCAACAGCGCCCGCTGTCGGTTTTGGGCGACATGTGCTGTTTGGCATCGTGCTCATTTTTTCCATACCCATTTCGGGCGTCCAAACTTTCGGCTCTAGCGCGATGTCAGTTCGATTGTACTTCGACTCTAGACTCCACTTCGACTCTAGCTCGCCTCAGGTTCGACTCAAGTCCACGGACGTTCGACGCAGCGTCGACGCGCGAGTGGAGCGAGTGGTTCCAGGAGGGTCCCCAGAGCGAGCATCTAAAGGACTCGGTGCTGCCCGCGGACCTCGGGGGGCTGGACTCCATGGTCGTCATCTCCAGCGGGGGGGCCGCCGGGGGCGTTGTCACGGAGGGCATGGGCTACGCCATCATGGTGGAGGGGATCCACGCCCTCGGGGGGAGCAAGGCTGGGCTGCGCAACGGTACTCGGGGGGGAAGGGCCAGACAAGTTCCGGCAGCACTTTTGGCGCAGGTTGATCGAAGGAGGATGTGACGAGGAATCTCCCTAAGTACTCGCCCCTCTAGGGAAGGGGGAGGGTTGGAGGGCATGCGTCGCATGCGTTAGGAGCAGGACGAGGGCAAGAAACATGAAGAGGAGGAGGAGGAGGTGGAGGATGACGAGGAAACGAAGAACCACGGTGCTGATGATGAGAGGAAGGAGTATATGAGGACAGAAGCAGGGGTCAGGAGGGGCTTGAAAGGGTGAAGAGGCACATCAGGAAGAGGACGAGCACGATGACGACCGTGGTGATGATGATGCTGCTGCTGATGATGATGATGATGATGCTGATGCTGATTCTGATGATGATGAGGATGATGCTGATGATGATGATGATGTTGGTGCTAATCATGGTGATGACGATGATGGCGGTGATGGTAATGGTGATAGTGATGCTGCTGCTGATGATGACGATTATGACGATGCTGCTGATGTTGTTGATGGTGATGATGACGGCCATGATCATGATAACGATGGTAACGGTGATAGTGATGGCGATGGGGATGGTAATGATGATGATGATGCTTATCACGATGATGATTAGTATAATGCTGGTAATGATAACCGTCATGCTGATAATGATGATGATGCTGCTGATGATGATGATGATGATGATGATGATGATGATGAGGATGAGGATGATGATGATGATGAGGATGATGATGATGATGATGATGCTGATGATGATGATGCTGTTGATACTGATGATGCTGCTGATGCTGGTGCTGTTGATCATGATGATGGGACGGATGATGATGGGACTGATGATGATACTACAAAAGATGGTGACGCTGATGATCATGCTGCTGATTGTGGTGGTGATGACGTTTATGCTGTCGATACTGATAACACTTATGATGATGGTGACGATGATGATGGTGAATATGATGTCGACGATGCTGATGCTAGTGCTGATGATGCTGATGCTGATGTTGATGATGATGCTGCTGCGGATGATGATGATGCTGATCCTTATGATGCTGATGTTGATAATGCTGAGTATATTTAAGATGATGCTGATGATGGCGGTGACGATGCTTCTGATGCTGATGATGCTCAGGATGCTGATGCTGCTGATGATGTTGGTGATGCTGTTGAGGATGTTGCTAATTTTGATGATGGTGATGATGATGATGGTGGTGATGGCAGTGATGATGGGTGATGTGCTGATGGTTATCATGATGCTGACGACGAGTACGATGGTGGTGGTGATGCTGATGACGATGACGACGATGATTCTGATGATGTCGATGATGCTGAGGATGATGGTGAGGATGCTGATGCTGATGATGATGGTGATGCTGATGCATATTATGATGAGGATACTGATGGTGACGATGCTGTTGATACTGATGATGATCGGACTGATGATGATGCTGTCGATCATTGCCATGATCATGATGACGGTGTCCATGTCGATTGAGATTTTGATGACCATGGATTTGACAGTGTAACGATGGTGATGATGATGACGATGATGATGTTTGTTACCGTGCTGGCTAAGGTGATGCATATGGTGACGCCGATGATTATGTGGTGTCGTTTGAGGAGGGGCAGCTGAGGATGATGAAGATTTGGGTTAGGATGACGGAGGAGGAGGGAAGAGGGATAAGGAGGAGGAGGAGGAGGAGGAGGAGGAGGATGAGGAGGAACAGGAGGAGGAGGAGCAGGATGAGTTTGATGAGGATGATTGGGTGGAGATAGATGCTGCGCTTGAGGCGGTGTTGGCAGATACGGAGAGGAACCTGGATGCTGCGGACCAAGGTGACAATCGGACAAGATAAGGCGAGACCCGTTGGGCGCCACGAGTTCCCACTTTCGGACGAGAAGCCAGCGCCTGGGTCATGAGGTTGAGGAGGAGGAAACACTCCGAAAACACTTCCCGAGGCGACTGGGGTCGCGCGGAGGGGGGGGAGGGGGGGGGGGGGGGCACGCCGCGGCCCCACGGCCGTGCGGGCCTGCCCCACGGGCACCGCGACTCGTGCGGGCCTGCCCCACAGGCGACGGCCCTTCTCGCACAGGCAGCCACCATGCCCTCGCAGGGCGGCCGCTGCCCGTCCGCGCCCCCTCGGGCGTCCCTTCTCGCACGGAGGCTGCCACTGCCCTCGCAGCGCCTGTCTCGCACGAGCTGGCAGCGTCCGCAGACGGCTGCCACTGCCCTCGCCGAGGGTGGGGTTCACGGCAGCGGCTGGGTGTGTAGGGTTAGTAGCGGAGAACCCCGCCGTTTGCCGCACCCGCTCCCTGGCGCTCCGCGTCTCAGTGCTTGGCTGGGCGCTCCCTTCCCTCGCGAGCCCTGCGTTTTGCGCGGGCCGTGATGTACGGCCTGTGCAGCACCCTGTGTTGCTGCTCTGCCTCAACCTCGCGTGTGGGCCTCGACTGGTACGACAGCCACTTGCTTGCGATGACCCGCCGCGCTGCCCACATCGCCTGGCTGATCCCTCTTCCGCACTCCGTCTCGCACGCGCTGCTCCCAGCGCTGTAGCTGACGAGATTGGGCTCTAGCTTCACCTGCCCCTACTCGCACGTCCTGGTCCCAACGCTGTAGCTGATGGTGTCGGGCTCTACCTTCGCCTCCCACTTCTCGCACGCGCTTCCCAGGTTCGTCCTTCGCCTTCTGCTGCCACTGCCCGTCCTTCTTGCATTGCTCGCCCTTCTCGCACGCACAATGCCTGTCTTCGTGAGGCGTCCACCGCCCGTCCGCCGAAGGCTGCCACTGTCCGTCCACTTGAGGCTGCCACTGCCCGTCCTTCTCGCACGCATGAGGCTGCCACTGCCCGTCTTTCTCACAAACCCTGGCCCCTGCCAGAAGTAAAAAAACACCCTCCTCTGTCGGCCGCCCTGGTCTCCTCCACGCTTGATGCTGCCACTGTTCGTCCTTCGCGCACACGCAGGATCCGACTTCTTGAGGCTGCCACTGCCCGTACTTCTCGCAAGGTCGGTCCTGGCCCTCACGGAGCTGCCACAGCCCGCTCTTCTCGCACGCACAGGGCCCGACCACTTTCGGCTGCCACTGCCCGTCCGGTTGAGGCGACCACTGCCTGTCCGCCTGAGGCTGCCACTGCCCGTCCTTTTTGCACGTACAGTCGTCGCCCGTCCTTCTCGCACACCCTGATCCCCGCGCTGTAGCTGATGGTGTTTTGCTCGATCGTAGCCTCCCACTTCTCGCACTCGCAGTTCCCAGTAATGCGGCTAGAGTAGTTGGGCTCCAGCTTTGCCTCTTGCCCGTTCTTTTCACACGAGCTCCCCGCACGACGCTGCCACTGCCCTGTCTCCTCGGCCTTGCTGGCCTCCTCTGCCTTCTTAGCTTCCGCGGCCTTCCTGGCCTCTTCTGCTTCCTCCGCGCAGTCCTGCATCCATTGCAGGCCCCACCACTGCTCCTCGGCTGTCGTCGCTGCTTCGCCCTCTCCGATCTCTGCGCCGCAGCGGATGGCGCCGGGCTCTGCCTTCGCCTCCCAAGACTGCCGCTGCGCGCTGAGGAGCCAGCTGACGTCCAGCTCCGTCTGCCTGCACGTTGCCAGGCGCAGGCGCCACCACGCGCGCCGTCGGCTGCTGCTTGGGCGCCTCTCCCAACCCGGGGGCGCACACGAGCTCTCGCCTTCGGCCATCGGCGGTACTTGCCTTCGCGCCTTCCCTCGGCGCTGGGGGCGTCCCGTCATCGCCGTGCCCGGCAGTGCCCGCCGCGGGGCGAAAAGGAGGAGGAGGAGGAGGAGCAGGAGGAGGAGGGGAGGAAGGGAAGGAGAGGAATGAGGAGACGACGACGACGACGCCGACGACGACGACGACGACGAGCAGCAGGAGGAGGCGGAGGCGGAGGCGCCAGTCGCCAGTGGCAGCGGTTGCCTCAAGGTCTCGCGCTCACCAAGGCCTGGCTTGGGATGGTCTACGGCCCCCCGGAGACATCTCTTGGCAGGACGGCGGGAGAGAGAAAGAGAGAGAGAGAGAGAGACTGACCACCACCACTGCGGTAGAATTGTATCGTGTCGACTCGGCGGCGACCACTGGTCGGGGGCGTTCGAGTTGAGTGCCGCCAGCGTCAGCGAATCGGACGATGTTGAACGATCTGCGCTATCGGCGAGCGCCGATCGCTCCAGGGGTGAACGATCCGTTCGCTGTCAGGCACCAGTGCCGCAGCCGTCACGGGCATAGATCACCCGCGGCAGCGACCCAAGGCGACCGCTCCTCGCGCCGAGCCCCTCCCCCCCCCTGGCCACACAAAGGCTGCCCCTGCCTGGGGGGGACGACGACGACGACGACGACGACGACGACGACGACGACGACGACGACGACGACGACGACGACGACGACGACGACGACGACGACGACGACGACGACGACGACGACGACGACGACGACGACGACGACGACGACGACGACGACGACGACGACGACGACGACGACGACGACGACGACGACGACGACGACGACGACGACGACGACGACGACGACGACGACGACGACGACGAAGCGCTAGGCCTGCACGGGGCGACCCACGGCGGAAGCGGACGACCCACGGGCCGCGCCGGGGTCCTCTGGTGGCCTCAAGCCCAAGGCGGCTCGGGTCGGGGCCCTCTGGAGGCCTCAGGTCGGCTCGAGGCGGCCCATGTGGCCTCGAGTCCGAGTCGTTGCAAGTCCGAGTGGCCACGCTGGGGCCCTCTGGTGGCCTCTAGTCGGCTCCCGATCAGCCCTGGGCGGCTACGCGCGCCCAGGTCCGGCCCTCCCGCACGGGCCCGCGGTGGCCTGGCAGCACGTGCCCCTGGCCTGCCGCAGCCCCTGGTAGGTCGACATGTCTCGGAGGGCTTTCAACACTCTGGAGGGTCGGGGTGTTGGTCGGTCTCTTTCTCTGCCTCTGCCTCTCTCTCTCTCTCCCCCCCTCGAGGACGGAGCTCCCTCTCGGCGGCGGCAGCGGCGAGAAGGGATCTGCGACACAGGCCGACGTGCCGCCGTACGGGGTGTCGGCCATCGAGGGCAAGAGCGGCGGGTTCTCCGGGCTGCCGGCCTGGAAGTTCCCCGTAAACCAGTGCGCACCGTTCTGCCACGGCACCGCCACAGACGGAGACGAGGACGCGCTGCTTGGTATGATCTACCTCGCGGAGGCACTGAACGCCCCAGACGACTTCGTCGACATGGTGATGCGCACCGCCATTGCCTTCGCGTCCACCGACCTCGGTTTCCCAGATCTCTACCGGAGCCTGCCAGACGGGTCGCGTATGTTCGTTCCCAAGGGGGGCTCTGATTGGGGCGGCCTGACGCCAGGCTCAGGGAAGTACGGCGCGTCCCAGCAGCCGTGGTGCTACAACCCCTCCTACTTCGCCCCGGGGCACTACCGCGTCTTCAGGGACTTCGTCCAGAAGTATTGGTCAGCGGGATTCGATGACTATCTGCCGCCGTACCTCGACGGCACGCCCTCCACGTTGAAGGACCTGGTGGCGTCGTTCGAGGGTGCGATCACGGCGGGGTACAACATCCTCTACCACTCCTCGTGCCCCTCGGGCGCTGTATCCAACTGGGTGGGCGTCAGGTCGGAGTGCGGAGACGGCGGCCTCAACTGCGAGGGGGTGCCCTGGGCCACCACGCCGTACGTCGGCAGGAACGGCACCTGCACCGCCTCTGGGACGACCTTTGGCTCCTACGGCCCGGACGCCAGCCGCACGCCCTGGAGGATAGCAATGGACTACATCCTGTACGAGAAGGATCATAGGAGGAAGCCCCCACCTAGTCGTGCGAAGCATCACGGTGGGAGGCTTTTTTGGCCGCCTTCGGCTTCATGGGGGCCCTCGCCTGGTCGATCGGGACCGGCAACAAGCACTACCCAGGATGAAACACTGGTCCCGGGGAAGGGGTAGATCTTTGGGGGTCGGTGACACCGACCCAGTGTGACAACAAAGAACACGACGTCGGAGTTCTGGGAAGGTACCCGTATCGCTGCCCTTCCTCTCGTTTTTGCCATTTTGAACCTCTTGGGAGCTCATCGTCGCCACGGCCAGGTTCGCCTGGAAATTCTGGTCAGGACGTACCCCGGGAGAGGTCCAGGGAATAACTCGGATCCCTCTTGGTGTCCCCAAAAGGAAGCCACCGACGTGCAGATGTACGACAGGCATGGCAAGCCAGACTCCTCGCTTGAGTTCAACGCCCAGGTCTACCTGAACCGGTTCGCCAACCAGTACATGCGCTATGCGACTTGCGACGGGGGCAAGGCGGGAGCCTGCTATATGCAAGGCACGGTGGCGACCTACGAGCTGGCGTCGGCTTTCTCTATGAATGCCCCTGGGCTGACTTGCAAGAATGTTCCCAATGCCGGGCAGGATTGGTGGGCTGGCTTCATGTCCTACCCGACTTTCACTGTTTTCGTCGCTCCGCATAGCAACCTGACAGCCAAGCAGAGCGCGCAGTGGCAGGAGACCCTGGCGGGCATATGCGACTTCTCCGGGAAGTCGCCCAAGGGCGGCCTGTGCAGCGACTCCTACTTCGAGCTGGGGCAGGAACTGATCTCCACGATGGTCATGTCCGGCCACGTTGCGCCCCTGTATTCTCCTGGCGGCGGGCCACCACCCTCCACCGCCTCCACCACCGAGTTCGTGCCAGCCCCGACCCCTCTTCCCAGCACAGTGGCGCCGCCACGGGCGCCCCAAACCACCTCGGCTGGCCCGACCATTTCTGTCTCGACGGCGCCCGCCACCCGCACAGTTCCGACCTTGACGCCAGATGCGGCCCCGCCGACCTCACGACCCACGACCACGGCGACGAGGGCGCCCCGCGCCCCCGCAGCCGCTGCCGGCGCCGCCGCCGAAGAGGGCGTCTGCTGCCTCGTCGGCTCTGACGACGGGTGCGGGAGCTGCAGTATGCTGGCGGAGGCCCTTCCGAGCAGCCACTGCAGCAAGTCCGAGGCCCAGTGCGTGGGCTGCGGCCCCAGGGCGGAGTGGTGCGGCGCAGGCGGGAGCCGCGGCAGCCGCAGCCGCGGCGGCGAGAGCGGCAGCAGCAGCAGGCCACAGGTGACGTCGTCCGCTGCGCCCCAGGCGGCGGCCCCGACCACCACGGCGGTCTTGCAGAAGCCGACCACCAAGCCGGCCGAGCCAGCCACCACGGCCGCGGACGAAGCCGCCACTGCGCGTGCCGAGGATCGAGGAAGACAAGACAGCATATCCATATACTTTCTGAGCTCCGAGCGGATTTCTCGGATCGGCGCGGGACTGCCCTCCCTGGCGCGCGGAGCGCGCCAGGGGCGGCGCCAGAGGCGCCGCCGGGGAGGCCCAGCGACCATCTGAGAAGTCCGTGCGGAGCTCCGGAAGTTTGCGCTCAAATGTGCCGTCCTTCTTCCTCTCGAGGCGCCAGGCTTCTGCTGCCTTGCCGGCAGTGACCCGCTGGACCCCTGCGGCTCTTGCTTCGGCTCGGCGTGGTCCGACCCCGGCGGCCCCTGCAGCAACTCCGAAGCCGCTTGTGGCGCCTGCGGGCCCTCGGCGGCGTGGTGCCAGCACGGCGCGGTCGAGCCAGAGCGCGGCGCGGGCCGCGACGTCTTCCACGGCGCCGTCGGCGTCATCCGCAAGTTCGCGGACGCCGACGGCGCCGTCCCCGTGCCCAAGAGGCCGGGGGCGGGGCTGGGGGTGGTCGGAGGGCACCAACTACGGTGGGGAAGTCTGGGATGCCGTGTCGCTCCGCCGCCTCTGGCCCACCGCGCTTTGGATCGGCACGCTGCCTCTCGCCCCGCGGAGCGGAGCGACACGCTATCCACTCGCAAGGCATAGCGTGTCGCCAGGGCCGCCGTGGCGACACGCTGTCCAGCAATGCCCGACCGTACACGTCTGCACCGACCCAGGCCGAGCCGATCCTGGGCCCAGGCTCGGGGCCGATGCCTCCCTGCGCACGCCAGGAGGGCGTGTGCACCTCGATCCTGGGCCCGGGAGGGGCCTGGCTGTCTCGGCAGAGGCTTGCAGTTGGTGCCCTCCCAGGTGGCCCTGCTCGAGATGGCCGCGGCGTTGGCCACGGTGGCAGTGGCCGTGGCCGCTTGCCGCGGCGCGGCGCCCAGGAGGTCCGCGCCAGAGTACGGGTGCCTCCAGCCGCGTGCCGGCGGCGAGGGCGAGGCGACCGCGTGAGAAGGCCTCGCGGCGGGGGGCGCCTCCGCTCGACGCGCTGAAGCGCAGCCCTGCAGTGGAGGGCGAGTTGAGGCAACGGTAGGTGGCTTTCGGGGGGGCCCCTCACCTCCACGGCTGGACGCAGCTCGGGAAGCTGGTGCGTTCGGACCCCTGGAGGGGTCCGAGGGCCGATTTTGAGCTGCCGCTGTCTCAACTCACTCGCCCTGCTCCGAGCGCTCCTCTGTCCATGCCGCCATGTCCGCTGGAGGCATCCATGTAAGTATACACACCACCTCCGTGCCTGACCAGGGCCGTGCTGGGCCCTACCGGGAATGGTGTGTACGGTCAGGAGCTTTTGCTTAGTTTGTCGCGCCGCCCGCTTTGGCCCACCACGCTTCGGCGTGACACGCTAGCCGCGTCCCCGTTCCTGAACGTGTGGAACGACGCGCTATCCGCTTGTAGGGCAGAGCGTGTCGCCAGGGCCGCCGCCGCGACACGCTGAGCAAAAGTGTCGGACCGTGCGCGCCGTGCCCAGGGCCCAGGACTGCTCTGGCCTGGCGTGGTGGTGCACATGTACCTTATGCGCATCCCCCTCCCCCGTGGCTTTGGCGGCGCGCACAATAGGGTTGGGGGAGTGGGGACGGCTTCTTAGAAGGAGGCCGCTTCTTAGAAGGCGCGGGCCTTGCCTCCACAGACAAGGCTGCACTTACAGCTGTAGGAACTAGGAGCGGCAGCGCGAAATAGCCTCGCCAGCTTACAGTAATCGGCCGATGGGGGACGATGAGGGAGGAGGGCGGGCGAGCGCGGTGGTGA